TAATTTACCAGGCATTAGAAAACTTGAATATTCCACTTTATTATGCTAGTGGTACATTTAATACTCGAAAATGTATCACTGAAATCACATTGGTACATTTAATCAAAGTGGTACGTACGTTTTGTACTTTGAATTGTACCACTAGAAAATCAATGTCATCCTATACACTTTTTAAGCACATAGGTGTTATGCACTAATACTTATTCCTTAACTTCTACTTATATCGAGTTAACTTTTATTTATACTAGTATGTGTTGTCGTACCCCGGGCACCGGATTTCCTCTGCAATATATATCCTTGTGCTTTTAAAATCCTTACATTAATTGGCTACTTATATAATAATCATAAAGTAATAATTACTAGATGGAAGCCTATGCGATGCACGGTTTTTTCATCTAAGATTTTTAATTATTTGATTTATTGTATTTATTGATTTCAGACAAAATTACAAAATTTTAATATTCTTTTTTTTTACTATAATTTATAATGAATTTATTAAATATAAATAAATTGTAAATATAATTTTTTTTTCCGTTATATAAATTTTTTAATGTGAAATGATAAATTTTAATAATTTAAATCCTAAATCATTATTCATTGTTTTACCATATCTATTTCGATAGAATCACCAACCTCGTCCACAACCAACCTACTACATCAATGGATAAAAATGTTAGCCAAACTGAAATTGATATAAATTAAATCTTTACATTTATATAAAATAGATCAATATATTTACCAATAAATGAAAAATTATTGCGATATAAAATCAAATTTATGCATTGGAATTTTTTCATCATCTCCAATAACAACCAAAGTCATCCATATATTAAGTATACAATATCTAATCGTATGTCATTGCATAAACAAATAATCGTTTAGTATCCTAAATAAATATAGTGTAACTAATAATTACAAATATAAATTTAAACATAAGATTTAAAAAATTACCCGGACATTGATGACCTAAAACTAACACAAAATTACTAACACAAAATTCGCTTGATGAAGTTTTGTATTGATACAAAATTTTATTTGTGTCGTATGATGTGTTAGATATGCATGTAAAAAAACATTTATTAAATAAAACATAAACATATAATCGTTGAGTATCCCAAATTAATACAATGTAAGTAATAATTAGAAATACTAATTTAAACATAAGATTTTAAAAATTAAGCTAAAAATTACCCGGCCATTGATGACAAAATATTAACACAAAATTACTAAAACAAAATTCGCTTGATGGGGTTTTTTATTGATACGAAATTTTATTTGTGTCGTATGATGTGTCAATTTATAATGGTAGGTATCACAGATTTTAATTTAATTATAATTAACGAACAATTTGTATTTCTTATCATAAATACTATCAAAATTTATCTTATAATGATAAGTATCAAACTTTATTATAAGCGTTTATCATTTAAATATTTTTTACTATATTTTTTTTTTGATTTCTTATACTCGTAGTATTGAATTAATAAATTTCTTTTTTTCTATATTTTTACTTTATTTTTTTCATTAAAATAATTTAATCCGTGGATTATAAACTACGTGGCATTAAAATCTTAGATATATCAAATCTAATTCGTTACTTTTATCTAGGTGGCGATATAATTATTTAATTTAAAAATAAAATATAAATCTTTCTTCTTATTGGTCGAGATAAGTATATTTCTTACGTGGCGCTCCGAATGCTCTCCAAAAATGCCTACTTTATTTATATAATAATTATTATTTTCTCAAAGGCATTATCACTAATGTCTAAATCTATCCACGTTTGAAACATTTGTTGCTTTAAATGTTCATAATCGTATGAGTAATTTAATTTTACGGTTTCCTTGACGTTTAACAACTTGAGTACTCCTAGACTTTATTCAAAACCCTAAATTTGAAAATAAGTGTTCGGCTCCTAGAATTTTACTATTTTTCTTTTATTTTTGAATAATGATTGCCTATTTGGAATTTTAATCCTGGTGGTGATGGCCGATTTGTTATTGAATTTTAAAAGAAATTTTTTATCTATATGCCAAATTTTAAAATGTATCATTGATACAAACATTGTTATGTAAGAGGTGTACATCCCTTTGATTTAGAATATTTTGACGTATAGGATACTACTGATTTTTGTAAGAGCGAAATATATATTACAAAAATATACACTATATATATGAGAAAAATATTTATGTTATTCGAATTTTCAACTCATGGATTAATAATCACTTGACAATATTCATACTTGTAAAACAAATAAACTACCGCTCATAAAGTTGTGGGTTATAATTTTTTAAAGTATATCATAAATGGATTTATTTTAAAGTACTCTTTACTTCTTTAGCACGAATATTTTGATATAAAAACAATAAATTATTAAGATAATAATTATTGAATGTTAAAATTTAATTTTATAAAAATAGGGTTATATATAAATATTGGTGTTTTATAGAAAATAAAGCTCTAAATCAGCAATTTTATCCTAAAAATCTATCCAAATTTTATTGGAAAAAAAAAACTCTAATAAATTTACTTTTTTATCTTACAAAACCTATTGAAAGCTATCCAACATTTTTATCCTACGTGTCATACTAATAATTAATTGTTGCCTACGTGACGTGAAACTTGGCGAAAAGTTAAAACGCCAAGTGTCGCTGTCTTGTGGCTTGACTAAAAGTCCGGGCAATGACCCGATTGTTGATAAAATTTTAAAATAACTTTTTTGCTTGAATGTTAAATACGGCACATAATCCATTTTTGTAATACATTGTATTTAGACATACAATAACATATCACCTATTTAAAAAATAATGTTATTATTAATTTTTTAAATAAATTAAATATTTTATAAATTGATCTTATTTTAAAGAATTTTTAAAAACGAATTTTATGATGAAAATAGAACCGAGTTAGAAACATCTCCAATGGCAAGGTACAACATATTGTAGTTTGTCTTGCCACATCAGATTTTTAAACTACAAAGGTTTCAAGCTACAAAGTTCCACATTGGTTGGCTACAACACTTTGTAGCTTGCCTCATCAAACAGTTGTTTTTTTTTTTTAATGTTTAATATTTTATTAAAATTATTGGATAGTATAATGATTTTTTATTTACTACTCGTATATCATAGATGATTGTGGATGTAGAAAAATTAAAATGTTTTAAAAGAGCGTGATTGAGATAATACCCAAAAAAAAAAAAAAAAACTTAAACATATCACATATAAATATAGTATATTTTATCTACTACTCCGTAGCATTTTGCATGCCAAACAATTTTACACACATAGTATTCCAACTGCATTATTTTTTAAATTAAAAAAAAAGGTATTTCCTTCAAATTTTCAAGTAGTATTGCTCAAGTGAATTGAAGCAGGTCTTCCAATGTTGTTCCAATGGTCAAGATATTGCTTTGATATTTTTTAAATTTGCAAGCAAGTCCCTGTAATAAACTATTGGAGATGCTCCAAATATTTATTAAAAGTTATTATTAATTTTGTATATATGAAATAAAAGAAGTATATCGATAATAAAACTCTATACAACATTTTTATCTAAAAAAAAATCTATTCAAAATTCGCTTACTTAGCATCATATGTGTCACAATAAAATCTATTTGTCGCCTACGTGGCGCGACACTTGGCGAAAAACTAAAATGCCAAGTGTTGTTGTCTCGTGGCCTGGCTGTGAGACCGACTTTATTTATAAGTGACTAGTTTTGTGCCCGGGCGATGCCCAGATTGTTGATAAATTTTTGGGCTTGAATGTTAAATACGGTCATATAATCCCTTTTTGATAATGCTAGATATTTAGACATACAATATTATATCGCTTATTTATATAATAATTGTACTTTATGTACTTTTGTTTGTAAATAGATGTCTATGTAATTATAGACTTGAAATTAATTTTATTGAACTTAAATTATTTTTACCGAACTGAAATTATTTAATTTTTACCAAACTAAAATTATTTTTACTAATTAAAACTTATTTTAATTAATTCATTTTTAAAAATAAATTAAATATATGATGAATGGATCTTATTTTAAAGAACTTTTTAAAACAAATTTTATGATAGAATTAGAACTGAGTTATAGGATATTTAAAGGTTATGATTAATTTTGTATATGTGAAATATTAGAAGTATATCAATAATAAAACTCTATAGAACATTTTTATCTTAAAAAATCTATCCAAAATTCTCTTCCTTACCATCATATGTGCCACAATAATATCTATTTGTCGCCTACATGGATCGACACTTGGCGAAAAACTGGAATGCCCGGTGTCGCTGTCTCATGACCAGCTTTATTTATTAGTGACATGATATGATATGATTGGGTCGAAAAACATTTATGGCAAGTTTACAACAAATGTACACTATTATTGTTAAAGGTTTTAAAAACTGATCCAACCTGGAAAAAAAAAACCGCTTCAGATTTCGACTTATATGTACAATATAATTTATCATGACTCGACTTTAATATAAATCCGACCCAACTCGACCAAACCTCATCAAACTTTATCCGATTATTCGAATTGACACCTCTAATTATAGTATGCTTAATAGGATGCTTGATATTTTTAAAGTGTGTATATGTAATTCAATTTAAAGGACATTAAATCATTGTCAAGCAATTGTCATTACTAATCCAAAGGACTTTAGATCATTGACAAGCATTTGTCATTAGTACAATAGCACTTAATTTAGCATATGAAAAATGTTTTATGGGTCCTAAAGCTTACAAAACCACGCATATCTTACCTTCAAAAGGAGAAAAGACAGAGACTACATATACAAATTATACAATTGATACAGAGGTCACAATCACACATTAGTAAATTTTTTTTTAAAGGGTACGGTCACAATAAGTAGCGTTACTAGCTATTTCGTATTCACTACGTACTATATATACACCAAAGCTCAAAGATAAAGGGCTAAAGGCCATTTAATTAGTTACTTTGAGTTCTTGTTTCTTCTTTCCTTCCTTCTCTAAAACAATGGCATCAAACAGCAAAGTATTGATCATTGGAGCAACGGGATGCATTGGAAAATTCATCGTCGAAGCAAGTGTTAAGAGCGGACACCAAACTTTTGCTCTTGTTCGGGAAGAAACCTTCTCTAAAGTGCATACACAAGAGTATTTTAAGAGCCATGATGTGGAAGTTCTCATTGTAAGTCAAAATTCTTAGCTAATTAATTTCTTGTACTTCCATCTCGTTTTTGTTGCATCTTTACCACTCCTGCACAAGGTCGTTCCTGACTTTTTATAGGCCATATGCAGAATTAAAAATAAGGGCCTAAAAGAAAATTGTACACTAAATTAATGTAATTGTTAGGAAATAAGGGTATAATTGTGTATGATTAATGCAGAACAAGTCAATGAAAAATAAGAACGAGAAAAGCAATAAAGAAGACGAACAAAAAACACACGGATTTATGTGGTTCGATCAAATTAGACCTACATCCACGGGTGGGGGATTCGAGAGCTTCTTCAGTATAATGGAGAAAGAACGAGAGAATAATACAAAGAGTCCTAAATCTAATGGCTCAAAAGGTATGGTCTAATTGATCAACTAAAGGGTTTTCTTATAACACAAGGAAACTCTAATAAAAACCCTAAATTGTTCCCCAAGTATACTCAAATAGTCGTCATTAGAAAAGATATAATTTTAGGCCAGGAAATATCCCATAAATTATCCTAGAAAAACCAAACTACCGAGCTATAGCTCGAGCCTGGCGCAAGTCTTCATAGGGCCGAGCTATAGCTCACAACCTTGTCGCAACTTAGCTTCGTTAGGTCTTCGTAAAACGGCCATAAATTTCTCGTTTCTTATCGACATTGGGCATATGACCTACCGTTGGAAAGCTCTTGAAACAAGCTATCACCTCCAACTTGAATCATCTCAAAATAACTTGTAGTTTTAGAGATATCTGCATTCAAATTCATCCCTACTAGATTTCGAGTCACACTTTAACAGTAACTGTAGGGAATTTTTCAAACTCTTATTGAGCCCTACCGTGGTCCATGCTTTTAGGCATGGCGGCGTTCCAAGGAAAAGAAGCCAGAGAAAAAGAGTCGCCAACAAGTTTTAGGAACTTGTAAACCGTTTACGGGTGTGAAGGTTACACTCCATTCACGATCACGGAGATCGCTAACTCCATAGTGGTCCGGAACCATGCTGGATTTTCGGGGATGATTGTATGAATCCAACCTAAAACAGATTGAACCCGCCCTAAATAGGCCTCTACTCAATTCTTATGATATTCAAGTGCGCTTTTCGATCAACATACATACATCAAATTAATCCTAAACCTGTTTAATCTACGTTGGTTGATTATTAATGCACAATCAAATCTAATATTAGTGATCACTTGAATTAAAGTCATATTAAGCCTAAATTCAATTATTAATTATCTTATTAGCTTAGGCGTGATTTCAAGCACAAATTCCCTTTGAACATGCAAAATGGGGCGTGATCAAGCAATAATAATAAATCATGAATAATCAAGCAACATATGATTAATACAACAATCATCATCATAACAACATCCTCAAAACATCATTAATAGTAAGATCCTAGGCATGATACTAAACGGATTAATTACAAATCCTAGAACGTCACTAATAACAAATCAAAGCGTTATTCTAAACATGATACTACAAATCATAACAAGCATCCTAAACATGATATTAGGAATTAAAATAACATCCTAAGCATGATACTAGGAATTAAAATAACATTCTAAGCATGATACTAGGAATTAAATTAACATTGCAAACATGATTTCTACTCCAAAATCAAAGGAATAATAATAAGGTAATTGAATTACTCACTTTGATGCCTCAACCTTCTTGCTATTAAAACAATACACACGTTAGTAACTTCGGGAAAGTTAAATCAATAAAGTAAATAAATCAAATATGAATTGAAATATAGATTTGGGACCAAACCCTCGTAACTATCAACCTTTCAAGTCGAGGTCGAAGGCAACCTCGAGTATGGTTTGGAGTATTTGAATCTCGCAAAGGAGGTATTGTGGATGATTTAGATGTATCAAGGATGTGTTTAGGCTAAGAACATGGATGATTGATAATGATTGGAGCTAGGTGATTATAGCTTATGATTGATGGTTCTAGCTGATTTGGGAAAACGACCTCTATTTATAAGAAAAAAAGAGAGTCGAACGATAAAAAAAGATCAGAATTTGAAACGGAATAAAACAGGTTTCATCGCGACGCGATAGAAGTATCGCAACGTGACAGAGTCTATCGCGGTACGATAAAAGTATCGCGGCGCGATAGGACTATCGCGGCGCGTTGGTTCTGTTGTCCTGCGATGATTTATAAAGATAAACAGTCGTATGGAATTTCATTTCCAATAGAATTGGGTTAACAAAATTTATCCGGACGTCTTTTAATTTGATCGGGATAAGGACTATCATAAGAGAAGTTTTATTCGGCTTCGAACTCTTTTAATCTTTATCTTTTTCGGAAAGGATAGAGTATAACCTTTTAGAGGATTCTAGAAGCTCCTAATGAATCCTAACGGGTTTAGGATTGGGAATATGGTATTTGAACCCTCGCATGATCATTGGGTTGTAGGTAAGGTGGATCTAGGCTCGGTTTGGGCTTGATTTAGGATTTTGGCCATAACTTATTCATTTTAAGTTGGACTTGGGCATATAATACATCGTTGGAAAGTTCTTTTCAAGCCCCATTCAAATAAACAATAATAGGATCGGGATTCTGGACCAAAATAATCTTGTTTAGACGTTTTTTATAAGTTGGACACGAAATGAATGATTTTAAGGATACGAAATAAATGATTTTGAATTAAAACATTTTAATAAAGGTTAAGGACATGGTCAAGGCTTAAGGAGACTTCACGAGACTCTTCAACTCTTTACCAAACTCGTTAATCAAAACATGAAAGGTACTCATCACTGGGTTGGTTTTTGGGGAGACACAATCAGATGTCTACAGTAACATATATATAATAAGTTCAAAAAACATACTCCATATTAATATTGACAAGTAGCTTTTTTTTCAAATACTAAGCCATTAATCTAGTTAATTACGTAGTACGAAGTATTACAAAGTAAATAAGAATAACACATGTTTCATTGTAATTTTTTTAAGATAAGATGAAGGACTTTATCAAACCAGCACTTCCCACAGGTTAAGTCATTCCACCTCCGTATGTAGGTCAATGCTGGCTTGAGAGTAAAGGGAGGAGGTAAGGGAATCCCCTTACTCCTAAGCGAATGTAATTGGTGGGGCTCGAACTCGTAAATGATTCTCCGAAAAACGTACATTTTTAATCTTTGAGTCACAATGTAGGGAGACATTTATGATCATGAAAGCCTTTTGAGAGCAATGAAGAAAGTGGATGTGGTAATATCAACTGTTGGTCATCGTTCTCATTCTAACATACTTATACAAGATCAAAGGAAGATAATTGCAGCCATCAAAGAGTGGTAATATCAAGGTATGTACGTATGTCATTTAACTCATAACCCTTAATGACTTAGGATTTGTTTATTTCACCTTATTTTTGCTGAACTGAAATTATTTTTGTTGAAATTAACATATTTTTACTAAACTAAAATTAATTTTTGAGCCTTAGTGTATAGCAGGGGCAGAGGGAGAAGGGTACAAGGGGGGACACTTATCCCCCCACTGTAAACTCTCTCTTTTTTTTTTTTTTTTTCGTTTAACTCCCAAATTGTAATTGTTTGATCCATAATTTTAATTTTTTTTTCGGAAGAAATATTGTTTATAATTTCAATTGTATGATATGATAATTGAATTATTAGTTTTTTTCTCAATTTAATTATGACATGTCAAATGTTCACAAAATTCAAACGATTCTAAGATAACGAGAAAACTACCTAATCTTTGACAATTCATGTTTAAAAGTATCCCAAGAAAATAATCCTCTTAATTTAGTTTCCCACAAACTTAAAAAAGTAATGTTGAACTAAGTGGTTCAAGTACTAATAAGTACCACTAGAAGAGGAAGAATTGATATATATAATGTCTAACTTGTTCCTCATGACCCGAATAAAAAAGAGGAAGAGTAAACATAATACTTCCTTTGTATTTTTTTTTATCGCATCACTTACTACTTTAGGAAGTTTACTTATTATTGCATCATTTCCTTTTTAGGATAAAAAATATCTATGTTCACACTGCAAATACCCAACATACCCTTACTTTTTATTTTATCTTACATTACATGGACAATTTTGTATTTTTACGTTTCTCTCTCTTACTTTTTTCCACTACCAAATTTTGCCTCCAAAACCCTATGATGCAATTAAAAAAAAAACGGAGGAAGTAGATTATACCACAAATCAAAGAAATGATGTGAGGAGAGTTTATATTCTCAAAAAACCTTGCCAATCAGGCAACCACAAACCCATAATTCTCCGGCCTCATAGACAAGTGTCCAATTTATTAATTTTTTCATTTTTTTTTGGTTTGTATAACCAAAATATTTTGGATAATATTTAACTATCTTTATGTTAAAAAAAAAATAAAATAAAATAAATTGCTGCATTTTTATAAAATTATACAATGTTTATTTGTCCCCCCGATATGAAATTTCTGGCTCCGCTACTGGTGTATAGTAGACTAACAATCACATTTAAGTCCAATCCTACATACACATACAAATTAATGGCCGAAAATTTTTATAGAAGACTAACAATCACATTTGATGATACACTATTTTACTAGCAGCTTATGTTTTCAGAGATTCTTGCCATCAGAATTTGGCATGGATGTTGATAGAGTTCACGCTGTTGATCCTGCTCAGAGTTTGATTGAGGCTAAGTCTCAAATACGTCGAGTAATTGAAGAAGAAAATATCCCTTACACTTTCATTTGTTCATACTACTTTGCTCGTACTAGCATCCAAAACTTATTTCAGCCTGAGCTTGAAGCTCCTCCAAGGGACCGAGTACATATATTAGGTGATGGAACATCAAAAGGTAAAGAGCATTTATACTACTTTCAGTCTTTCACATACAAATTATGTGCATGCTCAAAAGATGATGTTAAGTTCACATCCTATTAGAAGTAGGTGAATCATATATATCATACTCGTCAAAATATTCTTTCCATCTTATAATATAGTGCCTATATTTCTATTTTTATGGTTAAACTTTAAAAACTTTGATCACATATTCTCATTAGTAGAGACATGAGATATCATTAGATATATCTCAATTGTGTAGTTTTATAATATTACAATTTTATAATTTTTTTTAATCTGTAATTAATAATTGTTAGGAATATAAAGATATGAGATATCGGAATATGTGTGATATATTTTCCGTAGATATAATTAGGAGAATAATATATTTAGAATATATATGTTAAGATATTATTTAGTGAATATATCTTATACGAAGTATATAGTTATGGTAGTATGTTTTTTAGGAAGATTGTTTACTATCTTATGTTCGTAGGTTTTGTATAAATACTCTGCCTATTGATGAATAATAAATCAAGCCATTCTATTAACTCTATCTCCCCTAAATTTGTCATGCTATCAAAATCGGGTTAGATCTTAGGAGTGTTCACAAATATTTTCCTCCCTACCGGTCAGTTAGAAAATTAAACCCACCGGTGAGATAAACCTTTAGCGAAAAATATAATTTTAATTTGTCAATAATGTTGATGTTCAAAAACGCATGACAAGGGATATTAAAAAAAAGATCGTTATTATCTCCTAATCGAACAATTTCCTAACCTAAAACTACACCATGCGTGTAAAGCGGCAAGTTAGGGTCATTCACTAGGACGACTAAGGGACAGCAATATATGCTAGTGGAACAAGCTAGGTCGAAGAGCGAATTGGAATGATAATTTAACAACTATAAAAGGATTAACAAAGAGAACAAAAGCACTAGGGAAAAGGGGATCAAGGTGTACACAAAACTATCAAATAATTAACAATAATTTTATTCATCAAATTGGTATCAAGAGATAATTTTACTACATAGGTCACTCTCAGACACTCTAGACAATTGAATACATACATACTCTACCTAATTAGCTCACTCCAGCACAACTGGTCAAAGATAGCTATTAATAAGTTAAATTAAATACCTTAGAAACCGCCTTACCCTTTCCATAACCCGTTAAACAACCCCCTCCCTTCCTCAACCCTCAAAAATCGCCCTCATCCTTCCCCCTCCCAGAAATCGGTACCCCTGGTTGATTTCGGGGTATGGGAAGAGAGGGGGGGGTAGTTTTCGAGGGGTTGGGGAAGGGAGGGGGGTTGTTTTTCGGGGTGGGGATCGTAAGGCGGTTTTCGGGGTGGAGGGAATAGTGGTCGGGATGTTTTGGGGGGTTGGGGAAAGGGAGGGAAGTTTTAGTGGGCCAAGGGGTGGTCCGGTGGGGGAAAGGGAGGGGCTGGTTTTTTGATTATTTTTTTTAAAAAATATTATTATTTTATGAACCATTTAGGGTTTGACACGAGTCAAATCACTTGTTAATAATAGGTCGTTGACTTTTATTGACCATTCATGGCTTGTTAGAAAAAAAAAAAGCCCCCCAAATTTGATATTATTATAAAATAATCGAAAGTTGGGATTATTTAAAGTAAATGACTTAGAGTCAAGATTATTAAAATCAATTTTTCCACTGAAAAACCGACCCCGCCACCATTCCTTCCCCTTCCCCTACTACCAAATCCAAATCCAACCCCAACCCCAAAACCTCTCCCCGCCTTTTCCCCACGCTTAAAACTACCCAACACCTCATCTCCCACCCTCCCCCCCAACACCTCATCTCCCACCCCCAAAACTTCCCCCCCTCGGCTCCCTTCCCCCGCCCTATAAATTGCTCCCCTCCCTTACCCCAACTCCTGAAACAACCGCCCTCTCACTCCCTTCCCCCATCCTTGAAATGTTGTTATTTTTTAAAAAAGACTGAAAACTTTCATGCCAAAGGTCATAGTATTCATGACAAATTTTTCTAAAATAGAAACACTTCTTATAATAAAACTAAAAGGAAATAAAATAGAAAATTGAGAAAAACAAGGAATAAGTATTAACTAAAACTGAAAACTTAAACTATAATATTAAAAAATAAGAAATATAAAATAAATTATGAAATTAAGCTGTAAACTATTAAAATTAAAGTTACGAAAACACTCCACTCATAGGGGAAGACAAATAAAAAGAAAAATGAATATAGGAGAAATGAAGATTAAAACGAGATAATTATTAGAATATAAACAGACATTTGACCGTAGAAATAACATATATGTTGATTATCAACACGCCTTGTAAACCGCATAAAATGAAATGGCTTTATATTATGGGACATAGGGAGTATATGTCAATTAAGTTACACATATTACCTATTTTTTTTTTCTTTGAATTTACTCGTATTCTTTTTTTAAATGTTTCTTTTTAGTTAACATGTTTCTTTTGTCACGTTTGCCAATGGACAACTTCAACCATACATATCTTTAATTACAGATAAGCAAAAATTATGAAAAGTTGATATTTTGAAAATATATATTGTGATGAATCTAACAAGATCCCACATGACTATATTTTAAATTATGTATAAAACACAAAACATGGTCAAAGGGGAGTGTGTAAATATATAATAGTGCTAAAGTCAAAATGTGTCAACTAAAAAAAAACAGAGGTAGTATTATTTTTAGAAATGGAGTCCACCACTTTTAGGCTATGTTTAGTTTAACTTGTCTAGAATTAATCCGATTTAGATCAGAACGAATCAGACCAAATTAGATCAGATCAGATCTTTTTATTTGCGTTTATTTAACGTTGAATATTTTTATTTTCGTACTTTAAAAATTTATGAAAATTTCATATTTGAAAAGTACATATTAATACGAATCAAATGACATTGACATTTTTTAAAGTTTTGTCATGTGAACCAAATACATACCTTACTAGCTCTTACATATAATATTTTTTTAATTAGTTGTTATTTTCATATCTTACTTTTTCCGGCTTCCCTAATTTAAAGGTTGTTCTTGGTTTCCTTGAATAGTGAAGTGCGTAAATTAAAAAGAAACAAAAAGAGTAAAAACTACATACGTACTAGTAGGTAAATAAGATAGATGTTGGTTCATTTTGCTTCAGTTTTTATTACATTGATTAGCATATAATCATTTTCACTTTGTCAATAATGTAGGAATTTATAACATGGAAGAAGATATTGCCATGTATACTATCAAAGCAATAGATGATCCAAGGACCTTAAACAAGATCCTTCACATTAGACCCCCACCAAACATCTACTCTTTCAACGAGCTTGTGTCTTTATGGGAGAATAAACTTGGCAAGAAGCTTTGTTTCGGTTGAAAACAATGGGACCTTGCCGAAGGTCCGCTGAAATGGAGAAGACTGGATTCGGTCCAAGTTGTGTTGGGCCGAAGGTTTCCTGCACAGTGAACACACGTAAACTAGCCTCGGGGGTGTTTCCGAGGAAGGCCCCTCCGATGCTAAAGTCAGTACAATGTGTAAAAGGAAGACACTATGCAAGAGAGTTTGTAGCTTGAGGCTTTTGTGGAATATTTCTGAATGCAAGAATGAGCATATGAATTGGAATATGAATCCCCTGTGAATCTGTCAATATGATGGCTTTTATACCTCATCATATATGGAGAGGTTGGGCTTTAGCCCAATTGGCTTACTTTGTGGGCTGACCTTTGACTTTTGAGCAATTGGAGAGTTGAACCTTGACCTTGGGCTTTTAATTGGATCATTTAGTGCTTAGGCCCAATTTTGACTAAATTGGACCCAAACAACTTGCCCCCCAGACCCGATTTGGAAGGATGACGGGTCGGGTTTGATTTAATTCAGAAAAGGAGGGAAGTAAATGATTTAATTGATCCAAAAATTTGAATTTAAACCGTAATTAATGAGATAACAACGGTTAATGATTTGCGGAAGTTGGACGGATAATGGGCAGTTTAATCACAAGACATGTGTTTAATGGTTACTTAGTGGGTATTTAAGAGAAATTAAAGCACAGACTCTTCGTATCCCGTACCTGGAGATATAAACAGAGGCGCGTCATTCTCCTCACTTATTCACCAACACAAACCCAGAATTCTTCGAGAGAGAAACCAAGAACCCGCATCAAAACTTCGCAAATTCCCCGAGCATTGAGCTTAGAAACTGAGACTTGCCACTACGAACTCGTAAATCGGCAACTTTCGCTTCAGATTAAGGTAAATTCCTTTGATTTCAGTTTATTTTTCTTCGAATTCGAACTCCTTCCCCCTTTCTTTCGACTTTTCTCTTCGAAATAATCCATGGCAAGAGGAGTTAGAGGTAGAGCCCGTGCTCCAAGAAGAGCAAGACCGATTCCCGATCCTAGGAACAGGATTGGGACCTGGAATGGTCAAAGGCCGGAGTCTGACCCTGCTGATGGGATTAGGGCGACTCCCCTTTCCTCGGCTCCTCCTCAAAGAACGGATGAGCCGAGTGCTTCTGGACGGGATGATGAAATTCCCGCTGTCCTTTGGGATATCCTCCCTGGGTTTTCAGAGTGGGAGAATGCCGAAGTCGTTTCGGCCATGATAAAGAACCGCCCCTACTCATGGTGGGTAGAGAACGCCGATCAATATCGATTTGCCGAGCAAATTGAGTTGCATTACGACATTTTTGAAGCTGATGGATATTGGTGCCGAATGCCCTCAGCATCCGATAGAATCCATCGTCCACCCCCGGGGTATGTGGGGGTGTACACGAGACAGCTTCAGTATGGGCTGAGGTTCCCTTTGGACGTTTTCGTCCGAGACTTGCTGATCCATTACAACATTTCCCTATGTCAGCTAACCCCCACCAGCATCCGAAGGGTGATGACATACTTATGGGTCTGCAAGTTCTTCAAATACGTGCCGAATCTGCACTGCTTCAGAAAGCTCCATCGGCTAGTGCCAAATATTCAAAGTGGGCACGGAAGCCATGGTTCTGGGTGGTATCGGATTGAGTCCCGGCCCCAATATTTGACCATGTGGCCAAATGACTCTTCAGACAAGGACTGGAGAGGTCAATGGATTTGGGTTAGGGCACCCACAGATCCGGGACACCCTTGCGTCTTCAGCGCTCCCCGGTACTTAGCTGAGCCTGATCCCGAAATGGGAAGTCTAGGTCCCCCCGCAGATAACGGGGTGGATCCGAACCTGGATCAGCAACATATCTTCGGCAAGCTGCCGAACCCGGGGGGAAGTGGTCGAATGCAGCATATCCCGGAGACTTGGCTCCCCGATACGCATTACGTTTTCCAAGAGAACATGCTAGCAGCTGTTGGCCTCAGCCGAAAGTTTAAGGATGGTAAGCTTCTTCGGCTGGGGCCGAGGCTTTTTAACTACCTCTTTTTCTTCTCTCGCTTTGCTTTTTTTATGCTGTGCCGACATATCTAAGCTAAACTTTTTCCCTTTCCTTTTTTCAGAGCGGGACGAGACCAACGTTGGTATTAACTACGCTCGTCTTGGTGTTAACCGAGAGCGAGTTGTAACTGAACGGGCCCCGTCTATCACTGAGCCGAGGCATAGGGAAGTTCATCTGGATTCTTCCCACTTCCAAATTGAGGCTGTTGCTTTGTATCAGAGGCAGAAGCCTTGGTGGAAGAAGAGAGACCCTTGGTTTCAGCTGCTGAACGAAGAAGCTGAAGCTGCCCGCACAGCCGAAGAGGTTGCACGGGTACTTGAGGCTTGCGAAGGAGGAGAAGGGTCCTCCAGAGCTGCTGAAGCCGAAGCTGCAGCTAGAGCAGCTGAAGAAGACGAGGCTTTGCTGAAAACCTCGGTGAGCTTTCAGACAACTTTTCTTCTTTTTTTTTTTTTTTTTTTTTTTTTACTCACATTCTTCTTCCCCCCTGTCTGTTACAGTCTGAAGAGAGTAACAGACACAGAGAAGGCAAAGCTCCTGTTCGTCCCGAAGACCAAATACAAGAGTCCTCAGACTCAGATATGGACGAGCAGCCCCTTCTAAAAAGGCGCCGAAGGATGGCCATCATCGGCCCTCATGACTTTCAGCAGAGGCCGATGACCATCGGCGTCGCAATAAGGGAACCTGAGGAAGGCAATGGATCGCCGAGGGTTCCCCAGCCAACACCCCAATCTCCTCAATAGACCCCTCCGCCACCTCCTGAGATGGAGGTGGATCAGAGAACTCCCGAACCTAAGGGAGGGGTCCAAGAAGAAATCAAGAAGAGTGCTGCTGAGCACGAAAATAAAGATGCCGTGATGTCCAGTGCTGAGGGCTTCACGGCAGATATCGCAAGAGAGGTTGAGGCTTTCGTCCTCACCCCTGAAGAAGAGGAGGTCATAGTAATTGACTCCTCTGAGAAGGACGATGCTGAGGCAACCAAAGCTAATCAAGCTCCATCGTCGTCCTTCCCTTCTTTCCAGACTCTGCATTCTGGAGAAATGGGTTTCTCGGCCCCCCGAATTCCAATCCCAGATCACATCTGGGACCTCATATGGGGTCAAAACCGAGAAGGAGCTGCAGCCTACTTCGGCAATTTTGCTGGCATGTCCGAAGTAGACAGGGCAAGGATCTGGTCGCTGAAGGCCACTGCTGGGATGGGCGAATCCAGCAGATCAGTTCCTGACCCAGCCAGGTCTAACCAACTGCTGATGATGCAGGTAATTTTCCTTCATTTCCTCCGAAATTCAGCTCTTCATATATATATATATATTTTTTTTTATTTATTATTTTTTTGTCTTCCTGTTTTCAGTTCGTGCACAATCAGACTCTCACTGTAGAGCTGATAGATACCCTACAAGATAGGGTAGACGCTGCTGTGCACGAAAAGAAGGTGGCTGAAGAGGAAGTTAAGCTTGCTAAGCTGAAGCAAGCAGCAGCTGAAGAGAAGCAGCAGGAGGTTGAGGAGTACGGTAAAAAAGCTGCCGAAGCCCTGAAAACCTTCTGCGATGCTATGGAGAAGGAGGTTTTTCCCCCACTGATGGAAGGGGAAAAATTCCTCCAGGAGCATATGGGAGTGGACGTCTCCAAATTCAAGGCTGCCATTGAGAGCCGAATTCAAGAAGGAACTGCTGCACAAGCTGAAGTGCAGCAGCGTCTAGAGGCTCTTGAAGCCAGCCGAATGGCTGCTGAAGAGTTGCTCCTGGCCAAAGACGTCCAACTCTCAGAGGCTGCTGCTGCTGCTGAAGCTCAAAGAGCTAAATTCCAAAAGGCTGAGGATCAATTGCTGATCCAGAAAGTTGAAGTGGCCCAAGCTCAGACAAAGGCTTCCCAAATTCAGCAAGAGCTGAATGAGCTGAAAGGTTCCTCCTCCCAAGTCGCTGATGAGCTGAAGAAATCCAAGGAAGACTTGGAGGAGACCCAGAAGAAGCTGGCTGATGCTGAGGCTTTACTCAAAGTCCGTGTTTATACCCAAGAGGAATATGAGATGGGTTTCAGAAACGGATTCCGAGTATGCCGAAGAGTCTGCCTTCATGCTGAGCCGAAACTGGACTGGTCTAAATGTGCTGAGTGGGTCCAGAATCCCGAAGACCCTCACATGAAGTATGCAACTCCAGCTGAAGCTGAAATTCTTAAGGCTGAGGAAGCCGAAGAGGAAGCTGAAAGACTGGAGTTGGAAGCTGAGCAGAGGGAAAGGGAGGCTCGGCAAAGTGCAAAGCCCGCTTCTTCTGCTGCTGGGGCTGAGGCCACCATGGGGCTCAACGCTGATCAGTCTGATCCTCCGGCTGAAGCATAGGAACTCGGGCAGTTGTCTTCAGAATCTTGCGGTTCATCATGTGCTTAACTTTAGACTTGCCGCTTTCTGAGTTTTTTGCCTTGTTTTTTGCTTCAGCTTGCCTTGTCGTACAGCAGTTTTATTTTTTTGCTTATGTACGTATTTCGGCAGCTGTTATTTTCCGCTTGTGGGCGGCTGCCGATACTGAATTATTGAACTTGTAGCTCAATTTTTGAGAAATATTAATCTAATGCTCTTTTCTTCAGTTGCTTTACTTTTGAATGCTTTACTGTTTCTTTTCTTCAACTCTGCCGAACATAGTTGTACTGAGTGCTAGTATGACTTCAGCTGAATAAGCAATTTCTGAACTTCTTCAAAATGGGTATCCGAAACACAGGGCCAACTGAAGGCAATGCTTCTGGGATACAAGTCTTACTGAAGATTGACTGTCTGAAAGTTGGATATCCGAAACACAGGGCCAGCTGAAGGCAATGCTTGGGATATTAGCTTTCTGGGACTAACCTCTTTAGAACAGGTCTTACTGAAATTTGACTTCAGCCGAAAGACCAGCGTTCTTAAAGAAGACGCATATCCGAAACACAGGGCCAACTGAAGGCAATGTTTCAAATAATGGCTTTCTGGGATACAAGGC